CAAGGGATGCAGGGCCAGGACTGTGAGTGGGTACAGGGCATGGACCACCCCTGCAGATGTGAGCCTGAGACCACCCATGGGTGCAGGGCCAGGACTGTGGGTAGATACGGGGCCAGGACTACCAATGGGTGCAGAGTTGGGATCCACATAAGATGCTGAACTGGAACCACCCATGGGTGCCGATTCAGGACTACCCATGGGTGCAAAGCCAGGATCCCCAGCATCTGTGGGACCAGGACCACCCATGGGTGCAGAGTTGGGAACCCCCAGCAGCTGTGGGACCAGGACCACCCATGGGTGCAGAGTCAGAATCCCCAGTGGATACTGGACCAGGACCACCCATGGGGACACATCCAGAACCCCCAGCAGCTGTGGGACCAGGACCACCCATGGGTGGGGTACCAGGACTGCTGTGTGCACATGAGACCAGGAACCCCATCACACACAGGTCTTGGACCACAAGCACATACAGAATCAGAGCCCCAGACCCCCTCCTCCACAGCAGCCCCTGCCCTTCCCATACTTCCCAGGACCAAAACTCTCCCTTTCCCCCCCCAGATCTGCCCCTCGCTGTGGATTTATGCAGAAATTCAGCCCCGTAAATAAATCCTCTTCTGTCCTTCAAAATAGCCCCAAAGCAAAACATCCCAGCCTGTTATTTAGCTCTTTAATAGCCTCTTTTGCTATTTTTTTTCCCTTTAAAATAATTTTAACTCTGTCCCAGGCTGGAAATAATTATATAGTGGGGAAAAGATTTTTTTCCCTTTTTTTTTTTTTGCCTTAATAATTTTGGCATTGGTGTTTTGCAGCTTTATAATTCACCTTCCACGCCGAGAAAGGGGGGGAAATACAAAAAAACCATAAAATCTCTGCTGGGTTATAAATAACAGAGACCAAATAAATCAGACTCCAAAGCAAACAGGGAGAGCCACGGGATGGGGCTCCATCCCGGCGGGTTCATGTGGGGATCCCGATGTGGAGCATCCTTCCCGCAGAAGGGGGAAAAAAAAACAGCCAAAAAGCCAAACTCCCTGCTGGAAATGGTTATTTTTGTCCTGGGTTTTAATTAATAGGAAGAGATTCAGGGTTATTTTGAGCGAGGTGAAATTCCTCGGGTGTTTTCACCCGCAACGCTGGGGTTTTCCTGGACATCCCGCTCCGCCTCCTCAGGGTCTTCCCCCCCATTAAACCCCTCAAAAATTAAAAATAACTAAAAATTATTTTTAAAATACATTTTCTCCCCGCTTTTGCAGGTGATCATGGGCGGAGGGAGGAAATACATGTTCCCCAAAAACGCCAGTGATGTGGAGTATCCCCGGGAGGAGAAGCACCGGGGCACCCGCCTGGACCGCAGGAACCTCGTGCAGGCGTGGCAGGAGGCCAAACCCCCCGGCAAGGTGACACTGTGACCCTACAGAGCCATTCCTGGGGGCTGGAGTGCTCCGGGGAGCAGCCCTGGGGGTGGCTGAGGTGATGGGGAGGTGACAGTGCCTGTCCCCTGTCCCCAGGTTGCCAAGTACGTGTGGAACCGGCGGGAGCTGCTGGCGCTCAACCTCAGCCGTGTCGACTTCCTCCTGGGTGAGTCCCGGCACCCAGGATGCTCCAACCTCAACTGGGTGCTTTGGGGGGGACCCCTGGGCTGTGCTGGGGCAGCTGGAGTGGTCAGTTTTTCCCCCAAGGATGGTGCTGGCTCCAGGGGATGCTAGTATCCCACCCCGGGGATACTGGGACCTCACACCCAGTGATGCTGGTACCTCCAAGGGATGCTGGTATCCCCCTAAAGATGCTGCTGCTTCCCTGGGGATGCTGGTACTCCCCCTCCTGGGGATGCTGGTGCCCCAAAGGGATGCTGTTATGCCCTCAAGGATGCTGCTACTTCCCCCCTCCCCAGGGTTGCTTCTGCATCCTGGGAATGCTGGTTGGTACCCCCTAAAGATGCTGTACCCCCTCCCAAGGATACTGATACCCACTCTAGGAATGCTGGTGCCCCAAAGGGATGGTGTTAAGCCCCCAAGGATGCTGCTAATCCCCCCTCTTAGGAATACTTCTACCTCCCAGGAATCCTGGTACCCCTCCCCAAAGATGCTGGGCCCCACCTTAGGGATGCTGGTACTCCCCCAGGATCCTGCTCCCCACCCTGGGGATGCTGGTACCCCAAAGGGTTGGTGTTATACCCCCGAGGATGCTGCTACTCCCCTTCCTAGGGATCCTGGTATTCCTCCCAAGGATGCTGGTGCCCCAAAGAGATGCTGTAACACCCCCAAGGAGGCTGCTACCCCCACCCTGGGATGCATCTGCCTCCTAGGAATGCAGGGTTTTTGCCAGTGGTGCAACTCCCAGCCCGGCCGGGATGTGGGATCCATCCGGGCCGGAGGAAGGAAGGGCCAGGACTATCCCACAGTTCCTATCTAATCTCCCACGGTGGCGTGTGAAATGCTTGAGTCAGCACGAGGAGCAGGATTTGGCCTCCCTTTTTGTTTTGGTGGGGGAAGGATGTCCCCAGCAGTGTCCCTGTCCCCAGGCCTCTTCGAGCCCGGGGACATGGTGTACGAGCTGGACAGGAACAACGAGACGGATCCTTCCCTCAGCGAGATGGTGGCTGTGGCCATCAGGATGCTCCAGAAAAACCCCCGCGGCTTCTTCCTCCTGGTTGAAGGTGGGGAGTGATGGGGGTGCAAAAATGGGGGATAAAAGGGAATGATGGAGGGTGAGAAAAGGGGGGGTAAAAGGGGGTTATGGGGGGTGCAAAAAGAGGGGTGAAAATAGGGAAGGACTGGACAAAAGGGGGTGCAAAAGGAGGATAAGGGGGTGATGGGGGTGCAGA